CGGTCTGGCAGATCAACATTTTCAATCCTTCGAAGAATTGGAAAAATGGATTGCTTCATGGATAGCGTCAAAAGAAGACACCTTTTTTCGAGCCGGGATCCAAAAATTGCCGGAAAAAGGGGAGAAAGTTGTCGCTAGCGAAGGACAATTTTGGAAAAAAAACGGCGGAAGCAAAGTTGTACAACTGATAAGTTAATTGCCGCGATTAAGTTTTGGTTTGAACAAGATTTTCTTTCAACAAGTGTTTGAAACATATATGCGAGCTTTCATTTCTCTAGGAGCTTATTTTGATATAAAGAAGTTGTAGGTTTAGTTCTTAGAAAACGGAGCACAGTGGACCCTAAGCTAGATTTTAGAAATTATATACATAAATGCTTGTGCTAATAAGGCAAAAGGAGTTTTAGCTTTCATTAAACGTCGGGCTAAGGAATTCCAGAACCCATACATTACCAAATTACTCTTTACCTCACTTGGAATATGGCTCAGTCGTATGGAGTCGGTGCCATCAATTGTATATTGATAAATTGGAATCTGTACTAAAGTAATTCCTTTTATTCCCGTTAAGAAATTTAAACTTGGATGCGAACAAGAACCTGCCTTCTTACAAAAGTCGTTTACGGCTCATTAATCTGCCTACACTGCATAGTCGTGGAAAGATGCTTGGAGTTTTATTTTTAACTAAATTGATAAGAGGTAGCCCTTTCCTAATTAGCGAGCTTAACTTTACTATCCCGTTAAGATCATCTAGACACTTTAGGCCCCTTTTATTCGGCTCGTGCAGAACAAACTTTGAAATGCACGACCCTTTTAGATCTTTATGTAACGATTTTAATACACATTTCCCCAATCTGTAACTGTTTAGTGTAAGAGGCAAGTGTTACCGCGACCTTCCGCGATCGGTTTCGGCTTCTGGGCAGTCCGGACTGTTCTGGTTTTCGGTCACCGGTCTGTTGGATTTTTCGATTTCCCTCAGACGCGCTCCTCGGTCGGTTGGGCGGGAGGTGGGTAACGCTGGGTTTGTCGTCGTAAATAATATTACAGTAAACAAGACACGTTTAGTAAAATCCAATATCTAAACAAGGTGTTTTTTCATATTACAAAGTGATGTTGGTCCTGTAGTTAGCCCTTTCCTGCTCTTTTCAACTTTGCATGATAACAATAACCTCCTTTAAACCCATTCACTTAAGTAAGTGTGGCTTCCCTCATCCCAACTAAAACTATTGCGTGTTCTCAACTCTAGTGTATGTGTGTATATGTATATGTGTATCTGTTTGTATTCGTTTAAACAAATTTATGTTAGATTACATAATATAATATTAATAATCTTCTTTCTGTTTACTTAACTCGTACTTATTCCATATCCAATGCAGAAGCGGTTTAAGGATATTTTGTTTTAGAATTTAGAAGTAGTATCACTAACTTATCTGACTTTCATAAACTAAAGCCGATTGCAGATAGAACTTTTGGGTCACGTTGACTGAAAAGCAACGTTAAAGCCAACGCAGTGCAAAAATTGGGCAAATTCTATTCTTCTAATGTTGACCATTTAATTTACATTAATTAAAAAAGTTTAAGACAAACTACATACTTATATGAGCCGTTTATTTTGCAAGTAGTTTCAGTCCTTAAAAAAAAATTAGTTAATGATAACAATAATCAAAATCCTTTAAAATTTTTTAATTTATAAACAACAGCAGAAATAACTGAGGCACTTGAAAATTAGCTCGTTAATAAAATGAAAAAAAAAAAATTATTTTGAAACTGGTTTAAGCCCATTGAAAGAAATAATTGTAACATGGAATGCCTTATGTTACAAAATTTGCAGAGAGAGAGAGAGATCCTGGAATGAAACTGTGGCATTGAGAGGTTCTCAAATAACTGGTATATTGAGACACCTCAAAAATCTTGGTTAACAGAAACATATCATAGCTTACAGTGTTATGTGCACTGGGCAGAACAGGAAGATAAAAGTGACAGTAACATGGTTGAGAATTTCGTAATCGAATGTTTATATTATTGAACATAAGTTTTTACTATGTGGGCTTTAGTTTTTGCCAAAAAATAGTGATTTTGGAGTGATAGAAATGGCTTTGATGAAAAAAAATTTAATGTTTGTCCCCGGAATCCTACGAAACCATAAAAATATGTCGAAAGTGTAAAAAATTTATATTAACTGAAATGAAACGAGAAGATTTTTTTTACAAAATCTCCCAAAGAATCAATTCATAAAAGATTCAAGAACCGTAGTGGCGAAACTGAACGCTTCCCTATTTACTTTAAAGCTATTACATTCATCTGCATTAAAGATAAAATATTTACATTTTCTGTTTTTATATTATTTAAAATAATAATTTCAATAGCTTGCCTTAAAAAAATAATTATTTAGAGAAGTCACTAGGTGTACAATTCTTTTGGATAATTTGTTCAATATTATTGCGGAACTAAAGCATTTTTTTGCCAATAAATCATATGTAGTAATTATAATGGATTTATATAAACGTAATGGAGTAACTTTAAGGGGAAAATTAACTTATAATAATATTAATTAAGTGAACTCATTCCTTTTCACAAGCAAAAAAGTAATTTTATTAAATTTGAAAGTGGTTTAAAGCCAGTTAAGGTTCTGAAACATAGCTTATTTTTTCTAGTAAAGTTTACAAAACGTATTACGTTACATATTCTAACATGTTTATTTTGTTCAGAAAGCCATAAAAACAAATTAATACCTGTTAACAATATATTTGAAACAATTCAAGCTCAAAAAAAGAAAAAGTGGACTTAAAACACTTTCAAAATAAACGGCTAATATGATTATTTAAAAGATGTTTGACTCTTAAATGGAAAAATAATTGCAGAAAGAATGTTCATTGAGTCATCAAGTTGGAGTTTTTCGCTTTGATGGTCACACAGCGCAAAGAAGTTCTCTCTGTCATCGGTTTAACGGTAGCTAGTTCTAAGCTACGACAGATTTTTTTCAGAAAGAAATATCAGTAAAATTATATTAGAAATAATTTTTATTAATTTCAAACTGCAAAAACGTAGCTTAAAGAGTTCATGGAAATTGAGTTTCTATTTCTGGAAATAAGCTTTTTTAACGCCAAAGTATATTAAAATTTGCCTTCTATAGATCCACTTGGTGAATTCATTAACGTAGTTACGGCTTAGTTGCCAATATTTAAATTTTCTTATTGTATTGACAAATGTGATGCTTCAAACCTGATAAAACACCGATAGCCAGTGTCCTTTCACACGCGTCAAGTCTTGCTTTCCACTCTGGGACTTCGTAGACGAGGAAGGTGAGAAGAAACGGGAAGGGTAGAGATACCTCGGTACAGGCAATGTACCTGCCTTGCTTTTGACATTTTCCTTGCGTTTGACGTTTTCCCCATTTCTTTTCATTTTGCTTTTCTCATTTCTGTGTCAAAACGAGCGCGTAGACAAATAGACTTAGATTTTGGTGGTTAGTTTAATTGTGAAAAATTATTATAAAAATATAAGACTTTAATTTCAATATATTTATATATATAATTGGCGCTTTGTAACCACTTAAACGATTTTCGGCCAAACTTCTCCTATTTGTGGTTTTGCGTCTTGATGTTTTTCCAACAAATGGAGGGACCTACGGTTTATCTTAAGCCGCCTCCGAACGGCTGATGGGTTTTTCATGAGGAGCCTTATTTCATGACAGAAATACGGTCAGAGGGGTTGACATTCCCTGCCGAGGGGCGACAGCAATTAGAAAATTTAGCTAATTTTTTTTTTTTTTAAATTAATTCTCTATAACTTTTTTGATGTTAGTACGACACCAAGATTTGTACCCGGGTCTTCCGAATGGCGGTTCGCAATGCCAACCACTCGTCTACCACGGCCGCAGATTTCATTAAAGTAATCAAATATTACTGTTTCATGAATCTACATAAATTTTGAAAAGTACCAAATTAAATTCCAAATATCAAAAGGAAGCATGGAAAGAAAAACTTGAATTCAATAAAAGTTGAAGCATGTGAAAGCAAATTGAAAACACAAAAGAGAATGCAAAAAATTGCCTTCAAGACTTGACGCGTGTGCAAGGGGACTAAGCAGAGGTTTTGTTAACCGAAGCATTAGTTCCTGCAGTTCAGTTATGTAGGCTTAGAAAAGTTACACATGTAACTTGTAACATTAAATAAATTAAATTAAAATATTAAATGTCGCTTGAAGTCAATATTTAACATTTTTTAAACAGCATAGTCAAATGATACTTTATAAGTCAAGTTAACGTTTTTTAAGTTTGAATTACTGAGTCAATAATTCTGTTCGGTGACCTGATGAGTAGTAGCAATTGTTACTGAATTTTACTGAAACGCGTTCGGCGAGCCAAAAGCCAGTGAAATTAGTAACGAGAGAGCACGATTTTGACGTTGAGCTTGGAGCAAGCACGAAAACAGCTGATTTCTGATCATATAGTTACATTTTCACTAAAATACCAAAACTGATTTGAAATGAAAATAGTATTTATACTTTTATTAAAAGATAAACTCGCTAAATAGGTGATGTAAATGATTCAATGAAGTGATTTCACCCGTCGCCTGCAAACCCTGCAGCGTACATCGTTAAGTTAGGATTGTTGAAAGCAGAGGAAGGAGAATTAGACGATACACAAAATGAAATATTAGTCGCGTTTAACAGGGAAAATAAAGCCCATCAGGAGTCACCAAACAGAACTTATTTAAATACTTATGATCTTAAGTAGATCTTGACCCTTTTTTATATATTATATTAAAACACTCCATGTAGATTTAGCATTAGTTTACGGTTCTATTTAAATTTATCGTAGGTTTGCATCTAAGTTATTTAGCATAAAAATGTAGGTATAGAGTTAGAACAGATTTCTCACTAAAGCGTTAATTACCAACACACACATATAGTATTCTCTATAGAATTTTTAGCCTGCGTTATTGGAAAAATCTACTAAATCCAAAATATTTGCTTTTTTCATTTGCTAATTTAATCTCTTTCAGTACCAGCTATTCTCCGGTCGAAATTAAGCAAAATTTTTCACAAATCCAAGCTATTGAAATCATTTTTCGCTCATCTTGCATACGTTAGAAACCAAAAAAAAAAAAAGAAAAATAGATTTCCAACTGCAAAACATTACAGCGTGTGCATGAAAGAAACTGCAAAAAGGGAGTTCATGAATAAAAGTCACGAAAACCTAGTTTTGTTCCGAAAGGAAATTGAAATAAATATTATTGCCCACTAAAGGGACTACGGGAATTAATTTACAACCTTTTACTACGTACTAGTGCATAGTAGATTCATTTTCACTATTAAAATACTATTTAAGCATATACATATAAATTTATTTAAAACATTTAGCAATATGCAAAAATTGGACAGACTATCTCACAATAAGGTGCACCTTGTGTTTAACGCAACGGTGTCAAATATTAAACTAGTTTACATACATAGACACATACAACACAGCGTGGACGCTGTAAAATACCTAGTACTTATCTTACCTATAATCCTCCATTTGCAAATGCAATCATTTTCAAAAAAAAAAAAAATCTAAACTTAGTAGTTAATAATATGTACGTATGTATCCACAAATAATGTATTGTACTAGAAAAGATTGGAATAGAAGTGAATTTAGACATTCTCTCTAACTTTATATACTCGTATCTAATATACACCAATTTCACAAAATATACATACATATATGTATGTATATTAGCATCATTAGTGAGAAAAAAATATAACTTAATTCAAAAATATAATATTATGAATCAATATGTTAGTTCGCAGTAAAGGAATCTCAATGTTTTAGTAGCAGCAAAGTGTTGATGTAGTAGATGAATAGTGGAGTCAAAAACCCATAAGCACTCTTACCGAAGCATACATATGTATATATTATATATGTATGACTAAAATATATAAGTGTAATAAAATAGTTATATATGTATGTAGTACTTTGCTCAATCAAAGAAGGAATAAAACATTTTCTTAAAATTTTCTCCAATTCAATATCAACTACATACATACAAACATACATATCGTGAATAACTCAGCTATATGCCAATTCCTTTGAGGAACCTAATATTAGCGAATTTGTTTTTGTTCAATTCGTTCCAACTCGGTTACCGAGTATCAATACAGACTCGGCAGACTCACAATGCTTCATTAGTTTTCACAAAGAAATAAATGAATTTCCTGTTTTTATGTAAAAAAATAATAGGCATTTATAATTTTGAGGAATAAAATAAATAAATAAAGTTTAATTAGGTTGATTATCAGCAGTTTTACAAGTGAGAAATCAGTAATCGAAAGTTCAAAGCAACATCCTTCACATTATCATCATCATCATCATCATCATCATCCTCATCCTCATCGTCAGCAATACCACAACTACTACTACTGAGCTAAAGGTGTAAATCCCACTGGACAGGGCAGGTCCCTACCAATAGTTATATACACTCATAAATATATACAACATTAATTAATTTTGTGTATGAATCTGTGACAAGTGTCATAACCAATATTTAGAAAACAAAAATAACAAAAAAAAAAAAAAACAAAAAAAAAACAAAAAAAAAACAAAAAAAAAGGAAATAAAACAATCCATTTATATGCTCACATTAACTTTAAGGTAATTAACGAGGTGGAGCAACATAATTCATTTATATTGTGAAGGATAACACAAAACAATAAAAAAAATTAAGCAGAACATAGAAACATTGTTGTGAAATATATCAGTTTTCATAAATACACAAATAGAGAGGATTTATTGATAATGTTAAAATAGCGAAATTTTAAAGCTGTTACAAGGTTGCAAAGAACAAAAACACACAAATATACAAACAAAACACAAATAAAAAAACAACAAACAAAAAAACTAACTTTCATGAAACCAAAAAACATGTTATAAAAATTGTTAAAAAAAATTTTTGGGGGCTCAGTGTTGAGCGATCGGACCATAAAACTAAATATTTAATATTAGATATTATTAAAAATTGTATTCATATACAGATACTCTGTCAATTTTACAGCACTAAAAATGTCCAAAAAAAAGTAACAATAAGAAAAAACGGAAATTATTAATAGAAAAAAACATATACTTTCACTGTGAACTGTCTTTCCAAAGTCTAAAAAAAGCGCTAAAATTAAAAGTAAAAAGAAACTTTAATGATTGTTGAATATTATAGAAAAAGTATACAGTTACTTCAAAGTACCTAAATATTAAATTAATATATGTATATCTATTTGTACATTTTGTGTATCTAAAGGACAATCAATATATATTTCCGTGTAGAATTCGTAAAATCGTATAACGTAACCTATGAAAGCACGTACATACATACATATGTAGCTTTGGATTATTGCCGGAGCAACAAAATGCAACATTTTTGAGAAAAACATTTAAGACGCTTCGTTTCCATTTAAAATATTTACACGAGTGAAGCTTCTAGCTCTCAATAAAATATAAAAAACAAAATGTTTAATTTATTCTTTCTATTTATGGATTTTCTTTATTTGATTTATTAATTAAGTAAATGGTTAGTTGCACAAAAATGTACCAAAGTATTTGAAAACAAAATAACTTTTGCATAAGATTAAAAGATGAAATCTAAAAACTTATTTTAATTTTTATAAAATAAGTCCAAAGTAAATCTTAAACATTTTTTTTTTTACTTATTGAAGAATAGTCCAGAACCTTTTTGTTCTTTTTTCATTCCTTTTTCAACTAAAAACGGTATTTAAAGTAATTTTTAACGTATTTTTTATTTCTTCAAGTTTTTAGTATTTCAAGTATTTTCTTGAGAGATAAATATTCAATTGTTTGTTAAATTTTAGCAAACATTTTTTTTATTAAAAACAAGTTAATTCAATTGAAATGATTAATATTCGCATTTTGCCATTGATTCTTCACTAATCTCAAGTTACATATATGTATGTATGTACAATATTTTTTTAAAACCTTTCTACACTGCTTAAGCATACACACAAAAAATTTGTAGGATTATGCTCTTACAAAAGAGTCCATTTATACTTTTAACGAAAGCCATATACGAGAATTCTGTTACAGGGATCACCCATTTTTCGCGTATGCAATCAAATCTACTGGTTGGACTTACAAATATGTATAAACATACTTAAATATGTATGCACGTGAGTTTACGCCACCGATCTTAACAATATTTGAAAATTTGATAATCAAAAATTTATACAAACGTACATAAATGTGTTGATGAAAAAAATATATATTTAGAGAAAATCCGAAATAAAAATTTCTTTTAAACATTTAATTCAGTTTTAAATTAAAATAAATAATAAAATAATGAAACATCCGGTAAAGAAAAACTAAAAATATGATTTTTAGCGTTAAAGGCAGCTCTGTTCAGGTAAAATTAAAATAAATTAAGTTTTGGAAAAAACTGCATATGGTTCAAAAGCTACTTACATACATGCATAAGTGTAAGTATTAAATTATTTACAATATTAAATGGGTTTAAGATGTATATATACGCTTTCATTTGAGCGAATTAAGTAATTCAAAGAATTACGTAAATAAATTTGTGTTTTCTTAATAACTATTTGTGTGTTGAACTGCTTATATAAGCATAAATTATATTTAATTTTTTTTTTTCACAAACTAACTATTTCATTAAATTATTGTAAATACATATATTAATTAACATGCTTTATTATGGCATACATACAAGTATATATCAAAAAGTATAAAAGGGGAAAGCAAAAGCTCAAAAATGACTGAATTTGAATTAAGTTAACTTATTTGCATATATAAATACATACATACATATACATATATAAACAATTAAATCATTAATTTTAGTAGAGCAAGAGAATTAGTTTCTACAGTTAAGAGCATTGCCAAAAAAAATTTTATGGAATACCAAAAATTATATTTTATAGGTACTTCGCTTTTTTTTACAAACTGTAATAAATTTTAGTGTAATTATGTGAAAGTAACATAAATATTATATATGGTAATTAATGCAATTTGTATATGTATGTCTTAAGTAATCTTTAATGGCAAATTTATTTATATATATATGTATATATATATACGAAATAGCACCGATAACTTCTATACAACACGAAAATGACTTTATTTGACTTCAGTCAGCAGTTCACAAAATAAAATTAAAAACACACACACCCACACAAACAATAAAACCAACTGTATATCACTATTTACCCAATTAGATGCATACATGCAAACAATAAATTTCACTAATTTACCACAAAAATACACTTATATTTAGTCGTAAAACTAGTAATGTAATTTCTAAATAAATTTTACACTACAAACTAATAAAAATCTCGAAAAAGAATTTACTTATCAAATTAAACTAAATTTTTATGTATTTCTAATCGTTGAATAAATTGCAGAAAACACGCTTGTACATGATTTATGCAAAATTTGATTTTATAACACCGATTTCTAAAAAAAATACTAATATGCTAAATATCGATTCGCTCCAGAGTAATTAATGCTAAGGAAAATAAACAAAAATTATTACAGTATCAACTACAAATTAAAAGTAATTTTTATACACATTTTTATTTAAAAATTATATATTAAATTAAATATTTCACATATATTTGCAAAGCATGTACAAGTGGTTTTACAAAATGGTATTCTTCGAAAGTATGTGAGACGTTATAATTAATACAAACACTAAAAACCAGCATACAAATTTATGTCAACTCCTTTAAAGTACTGAATAATATTTGAGTGTGTAATAAATGTGGAAAACTAATACGCCTGCCTTTTATTTCGAATGTTTATATTTTTTTTAAATAATTACATAGTATACTTAACGACGAGTAAGAAAAATTCTTTCAAAACGTTATCGATTTGAGTTAATAACGCCAAGGCCTAAAGGGTCAGTGCTACATTTGTCTATTTGCACAAAGCCTGGTAATTCTGTGTGGGTTTTTAATTGTTCTCTAATTCTAAGAGTATCCTTGTCACCAGCCTCAGTGTTAGCTTCCCCTACAAGAAGCTAAAAACATAAAAGTTATTTAGTCCTTTTCTCATTTGTATACTTATGTTCGTAAGCGTGCGGGTCTATATAGTTTACCTACCTCAAATTCATTTGCCAGAAATTCTGCACTTCTTTCATCTAATTTAGGCTGCGGTAAGCCCAGTAACGCATTTCCGATAAATCTGTAAACAGATCTGCAAATATAAGAATTTAGTTATATTATATAATAATTATAAAATATAAATGTATATAGGCCTACTTAAGATCAACACCCTCTAACTCCTCTGGTGGTGGCAAGTCCTCGTTATTTGCTATGGAGTTGATTACCATAGCTTGTTCATACAGACAAAAATCCTGCAAGCGCCATTTCTTAAATAACTCTAGCCAGGATTCAATATTAGTAAAACTAAGAGATTGACACTCTTCGTGTACATTCATTTGGGCCATTTGTATACGCTGATTCATATATTCTATGATTGGAAAAGTAAATAGAATTTTTTATTAACACAAACTAGTAGTTTATGCTTTACCCAGAACTGCTTCCTTGTTAAATTTTGATGATTCTATTACTTTTTCAACTTCCTTTTTGCTGCAGCCATTTTCCTCTAAATGATTCAAAATCTTCTTCTTCATATATCCATATACCTTTGTATTCTTTTCGTCGGAAATTCTCTTTTTTGTAGTTTTGCAAACTGTAGTTTGCGCGTCACAAATGCTGAAATTTTATTTAAATATAAATAAAAAATGTCTGAAATGCACCGTCTTCAACTTTTACCCATCATCAACATTGTCCGCCATGGTTAGTTCTTTCTCTCTATCATCATTTTTGCTAGTGTCTGTTCCTTTATTAGCAATACATTCCGCTAGCATCGCTTCCACAATGAGTTCATCTCTCCTGTAATAATAAACTCACACAAAATTATACATATACATAAATATCAGTATTGAAATTCTTACTTATTAACATTAGAAGGGTTTCCTTTTTCCCAAAGGCTTATATTTGTATTTCCTTTTGACATTACAGATAGCAAACTCCAAGAACGTAGAACAATATAAAAAAAAACCTCTCAGATAATACAATAACAATTAATGTTCTCTTGTAAAACTTAAATCAGCTGTTTCAACTTTGAACATTTACCGGGGACAGCTGTTTAACTCAAAATGAATTGAAATGAATTATGGTGCTGCCATATCCCATAATATTTGTTTCGGCACTGTGAGGCATTGGCGAATGGAAGAAAACTCTGAAATGCAATAAAGCAAATAAAATATTGGGACGAGTTTGCTTTACATATTCTTTTTTGTGATATTATGTAATAAATAACAATTCGTTTTACCACTTTACCATACATGCAGACTGATTTATTTCAATTTTATTTTATTATATGCAGATATTATCATTATCGAGCTCCAAAATTAGCTGTAAATGTCAGCAGTACATGCTTATATAATTAGCAACAAACGGCTGACATTAATCCAGAAGATTCTGTTCAATTGCCCTCGATATTCTTGGTACTTTTATTTTCAATCTATTGATCGAACTCGAAGGATTTGGGGAATTGCTGAAGTTATTTAGCGCAAATCGTTACAGTATGCTACAATTGAAACAATTTTACAGTGTTCGTGCTTGGCAATTTCGCCGCACTGCCCTTTACCTAAATCTGATCCTCCCGATCAGACACACTTTTCCCAGACATAATTGCTTTTCCAAATGCTGCAAGCTTATAGAGGTTGCCCCTTTCCATCCGATTTCTCGGTGTCCCAATGGTTTGTATTAGATACACTACATATGTCATTTTGCCTTTTGATTACCTGCACAATTGCATTAAAATATTTTGGATAAAATTTCATTTCGTTTTTAATTGTATAGCAACGCTAAACTGCCACCTTAAAAACCATCGGAGATCTTCGCCTTATCATAACTCGCCTTTATCTTGCAACATATATTTAGAGTTTATTTCCTTCCCAATGCTTTTTTCATAACCATTTACTTAAAACTACAAATAACCAGGCAACCGAAGTTTTATTCCGAAGGGTATCCATGCCGGTGCCTACACTCCAATTTTGAAGTTCCTTAAGAACGTCTAGAATGCTTAACTTCGGAACTACCATCAGACTCATTTCTATAACCAATGTAAACAGCCAGATATCAACATTTGAATGTTCCTTAGTGCGTAGTACGCCTTTGCGAAAGAACATTTGTTTTTTTTTCTAGCCATTTATTCATTTCCAGAACCTGCGTTAAAAGTTCCACGCCCGGATCTTCCTGCTGACATTTCCAGACGTGAGTTTCCTAACACTTTTCGCTGGTGTAATGGTCATTATAAAGACATCAATGTCTTCTCTACACTCAGATTTTGAGCAGTACTCCCAACTACATGGTATATGGGAATTTCATTTGCGGCTTTAAATTTTGAAGTCATAACTTTGCAGTATCTCAATCCACCGAACTAGTTGTGCTTCAGGGTTCCTGAAATGTGTTGAGCGCTGCATGATCCGTTCCGAATAGGAAACGTTGCCCGTACTAATACCTGTTGAAATCTTTGATGAAATCTATTAACGCAAGTACTTCTCCCCGAGGAAAGTTGTGGCGTTGAAACCAACAAAAAGATAAATGATGGAAAGTGCTTCACTCGAGCAAAATCAGGTTACTTTCTATTAGACATGAAGAGTGAGGTAAACGGTAGACTGAGTAAGATGAACCATCATCACATCACTCGTTAATCTTAAACGAGTCAGTATAAACTGGTGTAAGCTGGCTCTTGCATTTGATTGCCCTATAATCTCCCTCTGGCGAAGTAGATAAGCGAAATACGTTACTATTGGAGGATATGTAGATGAATACGAGCGAATACTATGTGGATATGGGCGCATCACACTTTATCATTCCAACTGACCTGATCTCTAAAGCAGTAAGTTGTAGCAGAAGTTACATTTGGCTGTGTTACAGAATATTATAGTCGTGTAGATTGGAGATAAGGTCATTGTAGTTGTAGGAGTAGACTTCTTAACGAGTTCGGGGTATTAAGATCGATATGCTAACGGAGTTATAGAGTACAAAAAAGTGGATGTGGCACTCAGAATTGGTTATGGTGGCTCATACTGCCGTAGAAACCGCTTGCGCGTTAGCCGAGCTAAAAACATTGCGCCATTAATTATCCTTCTCGCTGTTTGCCGCCAGCTAGGTCCTTCTCTAAACGGTATTTCCAACGGAATGAAAGTCTTCCTCTTTCTTTACCTCCACTGGCGAGTACTTCATCGAAAACTCTCAAAGCATGAGTATACTTACCCATCCGAACCGCTGTTTCTTGATTTGCTGAACTATTTCAATGTCGCCTTATCTCTCGTACAGGTCATCGTTACGTCGGCTAAGGCATTCGTCGTTCACCACTCGTAGATGACCATAAATCTTACGTAAAACCTTTCTCTCGATAGCTCTTAACGCCGACTCCTCAGAAGTTGTCATCGTCAATGTCTTCACACCATATATCGGTGTGGGACTTTGTAGAGTTTGATTTTCGTTCGTTGGGATAGGACTCTATTTTTCAAATGACTACTCAGTCCAAAGGAGCACCTGTGAGAAAGAGGTTCTGCATTGAATTTCCAAGCAGGCATTGTTGTTGGTGCTAAGATATACGAAGTTATCTACGACTTCAAAGTTTTTGCTGTCAACAGTGATGTGAGAGACGAGTCACGAATGTGTTGACGGTTTGTTTGATGATAGGTGATATTTTCTTATCAAGTCTGGAGAAAGTAGAACTCACGGCGCTGCTAATGGGGCCAATGAAGTCAATATCATCGGCGTACGCCAGAAGCTGTACTATCTTATAGAAGATTGCACCTTTTCTACTCAGCTCTGCATCTCTTATTATTTTCCCAAACCCAGGCCACAACCTCGCAATGCGTTTAAGTTTGAAATTTTCACATAATTTATAGAGCCGCTTACTTTAAGACCGACACCCCACCGCAGCAGTACCTCTGGTGTACAGACGTTACATTTAAACCCTTAAACCGAATGAGTCGGAGTAGTTCCACTGAAGCTACCTCTCTTTTAGCCTGACCCAAGGCTTCACATGGGTTGGTTACCGCATCTTGCATAAGGGTTGTTCATGTTTCCAGAGTGGAAGTGAGACAATCTTTCAAGTTCGATCAATCGATTGTTAAATAAAAGTCACAAAATTTGCTGTACAATTGATTAATTGTAGTATAAACTTGAATCAACGTTTATATTAGTATTACTCAATAAATATCAAATCGATTCACTATACACAACGACTTATTTAATAACTCTCATAGCCTACTATTTTTACTTTTCACTGACTTCTGTGGGTTTGGTCGCCGGTCTTATATACCTGCATACTGTTTGCATAAACGCCTGATAAGTACGTACGAAATGTTCTCGACAACGAACATTCGATTCACGCAAATAAACGAAATAAAGTAAAATAAAATAAATTTAAATATAAAATTGTAAAACGAAAAAATTAAATTAAATAAAATGCAATAATAAAATAAGGTATGATAAATCGCGATGAAGTAAAATAAAATACAATAAAATTATGTAAATAATGAAATAAAAACTGAGTATAATTATGTACATTTATTTCTACTTTCTTTTAAATATTGGACCTTATTTTAAATTTTTTATAGCTCCTTAAGGGGTTATCAAAGCACTTGTGCTTAGAGTTGGAGCATAAATATGCAAACACACATACATGTATTCATTTTACTTTTAGAGTAAAAAAGTTATGCACACACGTACGCACATCTATTTCTCGATTAAAACCCAGGGTTTCTCCCAATCTACTCACGCATTTCATACTTTACCCGCTTAAGGTACATGGTAAGAGCTGGTACATACATACATACATAAATAAATACATATTTGCACTATCTGCTGCAAACTCGAATTGGATAAATTCTCTTTCAATTCAAGTGAGAAGTCAACAATCTATCTGATGAGTATTAACATGAAACAAGCTCGACATGATCCACAGTTAGAATACTGAAATCGACGAGGTCGGACATGGTAGCGAACCACAAAGCGCGCTTTTACCAACCGGTTTCCAAGTTATCGTAGCATGTGTAAATATCGATGAAATGCCGCGTTTACTAATACATTGACAAAACATATCTTAGATACGTAATTAGATAATAATAAATATTTTATCATAAATCATTTGAGCACTAAACTAAGGAAAATAAGAAAACATAATTACTTATAAAATAGTGTAAAGAAGCATACATTAAATAACCCAAAGGGAAAAAAACCATTATAAAAAATATATAAAATAAATATATAATAATATAATAATAATAAATATATAATAATTATATAAATATAAAAACAAAAACAAAATAACATTATGGATGACGATCGAACAAGTGTACGCTCAGGGAATAATCACAATCCACTCACCTCAGCGGCAAACAATGCCCTCTGGAGTCTGCAGGGTAGCAGCCCTGGCCACCCAGTGAATGCTTCACCTGCCGCCTTACCGCAAAACATATTCGCAAATCCTGCTATACAACCATCGAGTGTGATAAATCTTTCGAATTCGTCCGATGTTGTTATAGGCCCTATGACTCAATATCAGGGTCCTGTAACGATATATCAGTATATGGATGCTACGGTAGAGGCGAGATCGATGCAAGCGGGTGGAGGTAATTACTATTATATTTATGCATTGTTTGTGTTTACAACGTATATTTGAAATTGTTTTTAGGGAATTTCCAAGCTTTTTTACTTGGCGAAGCATTTAATTGGTTTTGTGTGCTTTTATTCATATACACATTTGTATACATATATGCATAAAAAGTTTGTGCTACATAAATGCAACTATATGAAAAGATAAATATTTAATGCACATAAGGAAAATATTTCTCAGCTGATGTTAAGTGATTCCAGGAAATTTATTATTCATATCTTTTGCTTCTAAACAGTCAGCTGACGTTCTCGAAACGTGAAGATTAATACTAAAGAGTAGAAGTCCGCTCTTGAAATAAAGTTTTAACATAAAGTTTCTTTACATATTTGATTATTTGCTAAACTAAGTAAATATTCTAATAAGACGGTGATACCTATTTATTCAGGTTTACCTGTACAATGATCAAAATGTTCATTTCAACTGGTTTTTTTTTTGTTGTTTTTGTCAACAAGCAACAGGTTATGACAGCAGAAGCAGTTCAAAAGTAATAAATATATCGATTTATTGTAATTTGGCAATCACCTAGATATGCTTTTGTTATTGTTGGTTGAGAGTTGTGTACTCTCACTTGTAAGACAATTTCTGTAAATATTGGCGAAAGTCTTGGAACTTAACATTCGGTTTTATTTATCATGAGTCGGAAGTGGGCAAACAACATTTTCCAAAATAAAAACATATTCTAATTTGAAAAAATACTTACATACATATATAAAGTTCTTCTAGTTTATAAAATTATATATAAACCTTCTCTTGAAATATATTTTCTAATAATATTTTAATATGAATATTAAACAATTTCTATCATGTACGAAATCACTAATACTTTAAAAAATAATTAAATAGGTAAATTTGAATAATAAAAAATTAAACACGATTTTTATTGTAATATTATATTACACAGATATATATATGCGTATGTATGTACCTACTTGCAGCTTATAGAGAATCGTGACTGCGTCGTTATTTCGATTTATGCATTTATCACTTGTGGAATTCTCAGAAACAAATTAACGATGTTGCGAGTGTGTGTTGTACTATATTATAATTGACATTAACTTATATGCCTATGGATATAATTGACATTTGAAGCTAACTAAAAAATTAATCGTCTGTATGCGAGTAATTTCAATAGCGTATGTAGTTAAATATTTTAATTCGACTCAAAAAATTTCACATTTAACTAGAAGTAAATAAAATTAAATTAAATTAATCAAATTTAAATTATATGATATATGTATCAAGGATTAAATTAAGAAAAGCAAAACAAAATGAAACAAAATAAATTAAAATGAAGCAAACAAAAGAAATATACTAACTTAATATATAAAAAAAATAAAATAAAAGAGGATTATATAAAATTAAATTAAATCAAATTTAGTCAAATTAAATGGCATTAGGTAATATTATATAAAAAAAATTAGTACAATATAAAATGAGATAAATAAACTAAATTGAATTAAAATAAAATAAAATGAAATAAAGGTAAAGATGAATGCAAAGTATAAAATGAAATAAAACAAAATATTTCAAATTAATGAAATAAAACTAAATAAAATAAAATAAAATAAAACATAACTAAATAAAATAAAATTAAACAAAAAACAAAAAAAAAAATAAATAAATAGAAATAAATAAAATAATAATAACGAAAGTAAATTATAATAAAACCAAGAAAAAATAAAACTAAAAAATAATATGATAATGATATGATATAATAAAAAATAAAATAAAACTCCATAAAATAAAAAACAACACTTTCGAATTACTTCAGGGTGGCGTTCCATATTTCGCGTTATGAGAATTACATCTCATAACCAGCGTTCAGGCCCCGTTTCTTTAACCGCAGAACATTCTTTTATGTTTTTGGTTAGCCTAGCCGTCCGCCTACCATGGTGTCCCCGCTCCGAATGTGTTTCCCACCGTTGCAATGACAAAATTTTCGTGCTCCCAGGGTCTACATTATTGTCCTTCTGTCTTTTTCGGCAGGAATATGCTTCTTTGTTAGCTATACCACCTCGTTTTTTCAGTATCAAATGTCGTGTCTCACACAGTGATTATCACAGCGACATTATCTGCCTAGTAAACTAGATATGACGTTCGGGAGATCTGAGCCGAGTATAGATGCATGGGCAGCTCCTGACATCACTTTTATACTGTAAGACTCTCACCATTACATTGAGGTATGTAGGTATGTTAATTTTTTTTTAACGCTGTTGAATGAATTCCTTACATCCAGGGTAGCAAGTAAAACAACTGTTTGTTGTTCTTCACATGCGTAGTATGATTCTCAATTGCCCCCAAGTGTTGATCTACCTGACCTGAATCTGTATTGTCTAGATGATAGGCCAGCCGCCATAGAAATGGCTTCTTATATACTAGGTTTCACCCATCCTCCTAGAAACCTACTAGCTGCGCGCATACATGTCGAAGGATTGTCTGGATTTACCGTACTGATTAAAACGAGCCGTTGCCTTCTTCAGATTTATAGAAATATACCAGCTTGGAGGCAAGCATTAAACCACTCTAGTAGAACGTGAGGTCGATTTATGGCTATTACTTTGGTATTTCTGCGGCTATGCCGTCAGGTCCAAATGATTTCCTTGATTTAAGTTTTCTTGCCGCCAGTTGCAGCTCTTCTATGGTACGGTTGTCTTGTTCTCTCGTATCTTTATTTGTGTGTCAGAAACATAGCACGCACAACTTCTTTCTTTGCGGCGCGAGAAAGATCCATATCCGTTGTTGCTTCTCCTCTCCGCATATTTATTGTGTTAACACGCCTTAAGTGAAGGCACGTTCTTCTTAGCTGCGAAATGTTTTCTGTCCACCAGTTCACAGAGGGTTTTTATTGGCATTGTCTCCTTTACATTTTTCCTTGCGTCTCCTGCGTTGTACTTTGGAAATGCATGCTTATCATGGCGGTGTTCCATTTTCTGATGTTCTTCTTGCCACATTCCACTCTGTTCCCATTTGTACTGTTCGCTAATGATAACAACATCGTAATGACACTCCGTTGGCATTTGATTCAGGAGTGCGGCAGGAGATTTACATCTGTGTTGCGTTTAGCTTCTATGCGTAGGAAGCAGATGGGATGTTTATTATACTCCTTCAGCAGAAAATTTTAACAGATATAAAACAAGAAAATTAAAATAATAAATGCAATTGAATTATGCCAAACGAAAGAAAAAAAAATAAATTCAATAAAGTAAAAATAAAATGTTAAAAATTAAATAAAACAATATAAAAAATTAAAGACATAAAGCAAAAAAACTGCATTAAGTAAAATAAATAAAAAAAGAGGAAAACAAAATATAATATAATATAAAGAAATTAGGTTAAAAAAGAAAAAAATAAATAAAGGAAAATGAAATCGAACCAAAACATAAATAACATTAAAAAAAATACAATAAAATTAAAAAAAAAATAAAAAAGTTAAATTAAAAACTTCAATCTAATAATCTAAATATAAATAATGTAAAAAAAAATAAAAAAAATAAGATAAAGTGAAATAAAATTAAGTAAATGAAATTAAAACAAAAATAAAATATAATATACTCGTACATAATATGATGTAATAAAATAAAATAAATTTAAGTAAATAGGATAAAGTGAACAAAAAAATAGGAAAAAAATAAATATATGTTAGTATATCGAAATAAATTAGAGGAGAACAAAGAAAATTTATTTTGAAATAAAGGAAAGAGATTAAATAAATTGTGAAGCAAAATAAAATATAACAAAAAATATTTACAGTTTCGAATGAAATTCATTTGCTCTATCCAATACTTCATATACCCTGGCCAGTTTCGCCCTTATGGTCGTCCACGTCGTATACGTAACTCTCCTCGAATCAGTATTTAAAAATATTGTTTTGAACAATTTTAACATTTCAACGTTTTTAACGCATTTGCACTTAATTTATCTCAGCTTAATTTTGCAGAATGATTACAATAATTTGGTTGAAATTACAATTAAAAAAAATACAAAAACGTCTGTTTATGCCTCACAATTGCGACAGACACATCAATTTCATTTGAGTTTTGTTTTAAAATATATCTGAGCATAAGGGTTGCGCAACGTGCTTGCAAACGGTTAAAAAATGTGAGATATATACTCATCATGTATTTTACGGGTGTGCAGATTAGTTTTTTTCTACTAATCTATCAGGATGTAATTTGGCAGGCAATGTCCACCACTCCGAGTATATTTCGGGCATGAAATAAAGGCTCCTTGTAAAAAACAATCTTCTTTCTTTTCAGAGAAATCTTCAACAAATAGATATTCTAAATATGAAAGTATGTTCGTTTATATTTTTTTGGTTTCTAAATTGTACCACCCTAATGTAAGTATATATCTTTATGTATACCCGATTTTGTCTGTATATATGATTGTTTATGTATCGCTACACACAGCTATAAACAAAGTATACAAAGTACTAACTTTAGTACATATTTATGTATACATAATCATTTGCCATTTACGAAAAAGTTAAAAGCAAAAAAGCTAATATAAATAGTACGTGCTGTACATATTCGGAAACAGAGTGCAAAGTCAACGGACCAAAAAACAATTACTCTGATTCACACCCGTCTGTCGATAAACAAAACTTTTACGCTTTCAAACACACCTACATGCACATATATGTATATACAACCATTAGCATATATCTCTTACTATATGGTATATGGATTCTCTTACATTTTCCACATATAAAAACAAAAAAACAAAAAAAAAATACAACGCTTAAGCCATTTATTCTTCATTAATCGTACAAACAAACACACACATAGAACTGTATATGGGACTTACACCACAGCGTACATATGCACATTTTGCAGGCACTGTGTGACGAGTGCGACGTCTTCACCAACCGACAGTTTGACCAGTTTGCCAGATAATCGCTTAGTTCGCTGGACGCTTGGCTGTTTTTGCTGCCAGCTAATTTACCCATCCGGCTGGGCGAGTGCTAGCTGCTCTGGCTCATTGGGCTCATTTGTCGATTTGTCAACGTCTGAGTAAAGTTTTTCGAAAATTCAACAATCACATTTAGTAGTAAATTTGCTGAGCGCTGTTGTAGCGGTTTTACGACGGCGCACTGTGACGATCATCATCGAGTCAGAAAGCGTTTAGATAACACATCTCTCCTTCGTACATGGCGATGACGTTTTATTTCGCGTCAATTTTGTTTTGTTTATTTTAATGAAATTCACTTATCTTGAAAGCGTGCCAGCAGAAGAACCCTTATTAACTCAACGACAAAGTGTATAAAAAGTTTGTTAATATAGCAATAAAGATTTATATATTTGTATACGTGTATACTCGTATGTGCAGTGAAATCCGTGAGAAATGTATGAGGAACCGGTGCTATAAATAATTATTAGTGACGTCACTTAAAATATTTCATATATTAGGGCAATTGGCTATTAGTCATGAACGTTAAAAATCTCCTTTGTAGAAATTTAAAAATGTCTCATATTTCACTCTAATCAGCGCTCGGTTGACAAATTGTTTGTGATAAAGAAATACACAATACTCGAGCAAAGGAAAAGATTGGGCGAATCTACTCAAATACCCAACAGGAAAAAAGTGTTCTGAATTAGCTTTTTATTTAATCATTAAAGTTATTATATTTGAAGAAACATTTGAATGATAGTTCTTTTGAATTGAATTTGAAAATACGTCATAACTACAGTAATAATACAGTAATAAAGTCGAATAATTTCCCCTCCTATTTTTTTTATTTTGACAAAATACTTTCCTTCTGCTTCTTAAAAAATTTCGCATGATCCATACATCATTAAATGAGTTTTCGAGACTATCTGTATTCAAAATGACGGTAATTCAAGTGATTATGTTTCCCCATTTAGGGTATTTACCATTTTGACCTTTTTTTACCTGCCGTCAATTTTTGGTCAGATCCATGAAAACTGAAAACGGGAGAATGGGGATTAAATGAAAAATTTCCATTACAGGACTAAGAAAATTGGTCGGAGCTCCAACCAATGCTGTAAGCTGACAGCTACTTTCAGCACGCAAACTTGATTTGTGGTGATTGAAATCTCGTGAAATTCGGGCAAAATGTCAATGAAAAATAGACCATTATAATTTACGTGCTTGGCGAGAAATATTAGAGAGTACTAAATATGAGTGCCATTTTTCGTGAAACACATCTTGATTGCCACCTTTGAGCGTGCTTTTTTTTTTTAAATGCGCGGAGTCTTTTTACTGACTCTGCGCCGTAATTCCTTCCTTAAATAATTATTACACAAATATTAAATTATTAAAAAAAAAATCATTTTGAAAATCTATATAAAAATATTACACGCCAAAAAAATCTCGTTTGGTCTTTGTTCTTGATGAGCTTTCTTGAAACCATCTGTATGCGTCGCGATTCCTTGAGGGTATAAATGCTTATATCCCACACATAAGTAAACGTATGAGCGCGACTGTGAAGTTGATTGATGGAAGAGTTCTCTGAATTGCACGTTCTATTTGTAACTTGTATAAATAATTAAAGAGCTTATCACAAAATTTACAAAGTGCATTTAGAACGAAAACGAATGCAATCAAAAGAGGAACAAACGATAAAACTCAAGTGTTACTTTCCATCTAAATATGTTGGTATAAAATAATTATAAAAATTAATAATGTGAAGAAACAAAATAAGGAAGCGAATAATTAAATAGAATATTTAGACATTTTCACAAGCTAAATGAATGCATAAAAATTGCAAAACAAAAACAAAAATATTGCAGTTCATAATTTTCCTACCGGAAATACCATATGTATAAACAAAATGAAATTGTTATTGAAAGTGAATTCAGAGAGAGCTCGCAAACGTTATGTCGGCTTCACAGCGAACACAGCAAACACGGCGGCAACAACAGCAACAGCAACAACAAAACGTTAGTACCTGTTTAATTAATTTACTAATTGCTCGACGATGTTTTTTTGTTTTAGAATTTCAAAAAATAAAAATAAAATAAATAAAGAATGAGAAAGCAAAATTTTTTAACTGCGCAACTAAATGTTCATAACAATTGCATTTTGCTGTTAAAAAAAAAGACAATCAATTTCTTTTCGTAGTAAAATTCATGTTTATTCCATTAGTATGAGTTAGCGCTCAAAGTTTAAAGGTGATTGCAATGGATCACATTAACATGTATAAACAATTTATTGACATTTCATTTGTACGGATTCGTATAGAAAAATCCGATTCTCTTATGTTTTTTTTTTAATTAAATTAGTAAATAATGTTCAAAAATTAATCATTTACTGTTTTTCACAAAAATACCGCCATATGCCATTTATATATTTGTGGCTTATGATTATATAAAAAATTTCATAAAGATTTTCTCAATTTGATATGAAATAGCAAATGGTATTATTATGAAAATATTTTCAAACTAGTTTTTTTATTATGAACAATTATATTTTACAGTGAATCGCTTTAACTTATTACTTCAGCAGTAATTTAATTAATTTTTACATTGCATTGTGTAATTCGAATTTAATTATTAGCACTAAATAATGTAGAATTCTCAAGCGAAAAAATTCTGCTATATGGTTCCGTGTATTACAGTAAAACCGGTAGGTAGTAGCGAAAATATTATTATTTATTATTTCTTTGAATTATATTAATTTTATTCAATTTAGTTTATTTTGTTCTACTTAATTTTGCATTATTTAAATTTTAAATTATTTATTTTATTTTGTTATATTTCATTTCATTGCACTTTATTTGACTTGATTTAATTTTATTTAAAAATATTGATTTTTTTGTTTTATTTGAGTTCCTTTAATTTTATTTAGCTTTAAGAATTTTATTTTATTTTAAAATAAATTATTTTAATTTAGTTTGTTGTATATTTAATATTATTTCAACTTCAGCGCCAGGAGTGCAAATAAAAGCCCTTGATAAAAATCCATCGTTTGTTCAGAGGCGGCTATTTATGTATACATACGTATATATATTTTTTTTTTCAAATCAATTAAATTTTATTTCATATTTCATTTTAATATTTTTGATTATATGCTCAAGTTAAGGTGACAATAATGCAAATATTTCTTTTCTAGGCATAAGCCAAAATAAAACTAGTGCAAACACCTCCTTCTATCAAAAGCTCTCCACATCCTCTAAACTCTTAATATTGCTCATCATTGTTGTGATAATTGTGGCTGGTGTGGTGTTATATACTGAAATACAATTAAGTAACAAAAAAGAAAAGCCTAGTCGAATAGTTTTCGGTAACACTTATGAGCTTGGCACATGTAAGTACATACCTACTACCATATAATTGATATATAAATCAATAATATATTTTGGGGAAAATTTTGACGATTTATGTAATAACATTGTCAAAGCCTTCCCGCCATCATACAAAAAAGAAGAGTAGTTTCACTCAATATAAAATTGGCAGAAAAAGATATTATATAGTACATCTTATTTTCACTTTAACTTCAAAACATTGCCACTTAAAGAAATATAATATATACATAATTCATATTTTCATAAAAAAATTTAAGGCATCTCAAATTATTCATATTTTCTTTAGATATCAGAATATATAGTTATTGTCAGTATATTTTACTACAATATATATAAGGTTGTCAAATATCTCCCTTCCGCTTTTTTGCTCTTCATTCAATGCTTTGTAAAAAGTGTTACAGTGATAGGATTTAGTTAAAATATGCGCCGTTTTGTTAGATGATCTGTTTCCATCTAGACGGCAACTTCATAATACCTTCCTCGTAGAAGTCCCCCTCCTTATTTGCGAAGAATTCGGACAGCCACTTTTCGCAAGCCTCTTTTGAGTTCAACTTCACACCACCAAGGGCATTCGCCATGGACAGGAACAGATGGTAATCACTTGGCGCTACGTCCGGGCTATATGGTGGATGCGATAAAACCTCCCATCCAAGCTCCCGTAGCTTCTGACGAGTCATCAGCGAAGTGTGTGGTCTGGCGTTGTACTGGTGGAACACTACAACCTTCCTGTTGGCCAATTCTGGACGCTTCTGGTCGATCGCCTGCTTCAAGCGGTCCAGTTGTTCGCAGTAGATGGTAGAATTAAGCGTCTGGCCATATGGGAGCAGCTCATAGTGGATGATTCCCTTCCAATCCCACCAAACACACAGCAAAACCTTCCTGGCCGTCAATCCCGCCTTGGCCACTGTTTGGGACGATTCACTGGCCTTCGACCACGACCGTTTTCGCTTGATATTGTCGTATGTGATCCATTTTTCGTCGCCAGTCACCACCCGCTTCAAAAATGGGTCGAGTTCGTTCCGTTTCAGCTGCATATCGCAGGCGTTGATTCGGTCCAGAAGGATTTTTGTGTCAAATTATGCGGCACCCAAACATCAAACTTTTTTTGTATCCAGCCTTCTGCAGATGGTTCAAAATGGTTTGGTGACTAACTCCCATCTCCTGGGCGATGTCACGAGATGCCATATGCCGGTCTAACTCGATGTATTCCATGATTTGATCTCCGCCGGCTGGCTTATCCCTGGTGTCGTTTTCACCGGCTCTGAATCGTCGAAACCATTCCTCCGCGGTTCGAAGTGATAGAGTACCATCCCCCACCATCACCAACACCATTAATCTCACGGAACGTTTCTCTAGCGGATTTGCCTTTAAGGAAGGAAAACTTTAAAATAGCGCGAATTTCGGCGTTAGTGAACTCCATGTTTACACGTCTATAACTGTTGAACGCAATATCCAAACTAATCATGCATAGCATTGTTTTGTAGGTTATGTCAAGACCTTTCAAATTATGTATAGTGTTGCCAGATACGAGCTCTGTAGCGCTTTGTACATAGCCGCGAAGTTCAAAAGACAAAAAAAAAAGAAAGAAAAAAAGAAAAAGAAAAAAAGACGGAAGAAGATATTTGACAACCTAATATATAAATTTTTTTTTAACTATAGACAGTTGAAAATTTATATTTTTTATATACGAAATTGGTAGAACAAAAATAAAACAAAAGTCGAAAAATCTTTTTATGTCAAATAGTTTATATTTTTGAGTGAAACTACCTTGTTTTTTTTTTTTTTTTTTGCATCAGGCTCCCCACTCTATACACAAACAGAACCTCGATAAATCGAAAAGATTAGGTTATCGACAGAAATCAAACGTTATGACGAGTTATCGAGATTCTACTGTGTTTGAAAATTAATTCGAAGAAATTTTTACTTTAAATATTACAGTTCCAAATTTAGGAAATGGACATCTGGTGGTTGATCGCGAGCAATGGGGCGCCTCGGAATTGTCGAAAACTCTAACAATACCACTAAAACATCCAATACCTTATGTAATCATAACACATATCGGCGTCCAGTCGATACCTTGTTTGACCGTATATAAATGCTCAATTAAAATGCGTACAATACAAGACTCGGCGATTGCGGAAAAAAACCTTCCCGATATACAGTCGAACTTTTATGTGAGTTGAATCAAAAAATATAGAAAAAAGCTACACTTTTTTTATGTATGTATCTACCTATGTATATAAAAAAAAAAACAAATGATTCGGTTGTAGACTTTCGCACTGATTATTTTTGTTGATGAACGTATACGTAGTTATGCATATGTAAGCGTTGCGTATATATGTGTATATCGAACATTCAATTTATTTTTGCTTAATTGGTATAGGAAATTTTGGAGAAAACTCAGCGGTTTATTAATTAAAGGGTATTCATTTAAAACACGATACGTGAACAAAAGTTAAAATAAGAGTGTGTTAGTTAGAGAAGGGAGGTCACCTCAAAAAAATATTGACTTTTATTTAATCCTTTTTAAAATGTGTTTTTATAATATATATATATTTTTTTTTTTTGAGTTTTTAGTATTATCGGATATCTTAACTATCGAAACAAAATAGTCATTCAGACATTAATGTTGCTGATATTGATATATTGAAGGTTGGCGACGATGGCAACATTTATGTGGGTCGCGGTTGGGACTATGCCAACACTTATGCGAATGACACATTGGCTGTTACATTTATGGGCGACTATGGACGTTACGAACCCAGTGAGAAACAATTGGAAGCGGCTCAATATCTGTTATCACATGCTGTCGCCAACAAATTTGTTGATGTGCAATATAAATTGGTGGCACAAAATCAGGTAAGCCAAACGATCTAACGATTCAAATAAAATATCAACAAACTTTGTGCATATTATTATATGAATATTATCGTTTATTTTTCTTTTAATTTATTTTATTTTATATACATATAATTTTTTCTTTATGTTATGTTATTTATTTTATTTCATTTTAAATTATTTTATTTTTACGTTTACCTTATTTTATATTATTGATTTCGTTTCATTTAAATTTGTTTTATTTTTATCTTATTATTATATTACATTAATACATTTCATGTTATATTGTTTTATTTTATTTTATTTCATTTTATTTTATCTTATATTAATTTATTTATTTTTTAACCGCACTTTTCGTTTTAACAATATCTCATAACAACAACTTATTTATTTTATTTTATTTTATTAGACAAAGGTGACAAAGAGCCCTGGTGCCAATGTTTACCGTTACATTAAAAAGTGGCCACACTTTTATCCTTGTGGTATTGGCGATAATCCGAGGTGCGGCGTTGAACTAGATATGCCAGATGTTTGGAATGGAACGATGTAGGACTCATAATGATAATTAGAAATTGTGTATAAATAACAAATACTTGAAAAGTGAATAAGTAAACAAACCATATATGTGTATTATATTTGTTATTTTACTACACTCATATCCTCATAGCGTTAAAACTCTCTATTTGTATATATTGTTATTAGCAGAAAACCAATTAGTAGTAAGTCAATTTACATTATTTTATTTTATTTTATCTAGTTATTAGTCGAATAAAGAGTTTGGAAGAAATTACAATAAAAAATGTTTGAAAATAATTTATATTCTGCGATTTTATTTGTTGGTATGATATACGGAGTGCTTTCAAGTTGAGTATAGAGGTTGAGCCTAAACGGTATGTCAGACAAATGATTAATTGTTATTAGCAAATCGACTTAGGCGTTGTCTATGTCAAATTTGCTTGCGGGTATGTATTTAACAGCATCAAAAAATGCTTAGATTTTCTTTTGCTTTATTTTTTTAATTTTATTCTTTGATAAATTTTTAGTTCCAAATATCCGCATATTTATTTACATTTTTGGGAAAATTAAAGCTTGAATTGTCAAGAAAATTAAATATCCAATTGGCTTCAAGAATTAAGTTCTTTTTAGGAAAATTGAGTAACCAGTTTGGAGGATAATTTAAAAGAAGGATTTAAATTTTGGTAAGTAGATTTTGTTTTTTAATTTACAACCCGTGCTAAAAGCTTTTATGTTTGAACAATTAAAACGTATATTGTATGTAGATAGCAGTAAATTTCCGTGTCCATGTCGTCAAGGTATCACGTGTAGAAGGAGTGATCAGTAAACAAGACAAAATACATACGAGACAAAATTCGCTTTAAAACTATTTTTGAACATTGGCATTGCAGGTATATTGATACACTTACACATTAAACACGCATAAGTGTTTGTGCACTTGTGTATAGTATACGATTCCATAATGCATATATATATCTACATATGTAGCAGTGAATTGTATATAATTAATATATGCGTACATAAAATACTACAAACCCACTCATATATATACTCTTATGTAGTTTTTTATTGTTTAAAATTTTAGCTTAAATTATTCAAGCCCACATTTTGGCTGATTACCAGGAATTCGCATCCACTTGTCGCTGGCCTGAGCGCTGCTAAATCAGGTGCTCACGCATGCTCAGCTTTGAATAATTATTATTCGCTCACAATGAGCACTTCAGCGTACTCTCGAATCAACACGTATGACTACATACACGGTGTGTCCGGAAAATAACCGAACTTTATATTTAAATTATACAACATACAGCGCCATCTATTGAAAATTTGCAACATTAAAAAGATACATTTATCCTCTTTCAAACGCACCTAACATCATGTAAGCCGGATGACAGATGTACAGTGACAGCCATTTCAATAAAACCCACACTAATGGTTCAAAAATAAAATGGGACAAAGAGCAAATATCAAATTTTGTGTCAAACTTGAAAAAAAATTAATGAAAAAAGTTTATTGTGATGATTGTATGAGTCGTACGCAAGTTTATACGTGGTTTACATGATTTAAAAATGACCCTAGAGCAGGATGACCCTAGAGCAGGATGTCCAGAAACTAGAAATCGTGCTGAACTGGTGGAAGAAGTGCGTGAAATCATTGGTATCGATGCAAATTTCACTACGAGTAAAAACACTATTTGGAGAATTTTAACTGAAGATTTGGGGAAAAGAAAGGTCTGTGCGCGACTTGTTCCACATGAATTAAATGACGGCCAAAAAATTGCTCGAATTTTTAAGGAAAAAAGGAATTTCTCTCATCGATCGACCATCCTCCGTGTTCGCCTGATCTATCACCATGTGACTATTTTTTATTTCCAAAACTGAAAATCAAGATGAAGGGAGCATTTTATGATGATATCCCAGCAATTCAAGCAGCCGTAACCGAGGTACTGAAGAACATTTCTATAAATGACATAAAAGAATCTATGCATGCGCTGGTTGATAGTTCCAAACGTTGTGTTGAGTCAAGTGGAACCTATTTTGAATAAATAATAACTTTCAATGATAATATAATGTGTATTTTATTTTATATCCAAAAAGTTTGGTTATTTTTGGGACACACCATGTAAGCAGCATTTACAACCAGTTCACCAATTAAGCCGGCTTAAGTCGACCAGCTATCGTTTTTGTTTTGGTATCGACAAACATTTACAAATAGGAATGAGTGTACACGTATGTATTCACAATCGTTGGTATTTTTCGAAGCTGGGTTTTCCAAGCTTTGATTTAACAAATATCAAAAAGTGTACTTACTCTTTATTGAATTTTCATTTTTATGATTGTTTATTGTCGGATTTTCAGCGCGCGTCATCGCTGTTGAGAGTGTAGTGTAATACTTTTCGGCGAATGCGACTTTGGAAATTTTAATTAATTGTGTTTGAACAAATAAATAAAATTTTTGTGTTTTATTTATTATTAATATATTATGTTTTTTTTTAAATAATAATTAATTAATAAAATTTTTATGCAATTTTGCAAAAAATAACCTTCCAATGTACGCTGGAAAATGATCCGTGAAGTGAATAAATATAAATAAAAAGAAAACAAAAGAACGAAAAATACTATTGTGTCCTTTCAGTTTATGCTGCCTTAGTTACAAACTTTGTCTTCGAGTTTAAGTTTAATATCTCACTAACACAGCAATCCTGAAGTCAGCGATTTATACCAGTAAGTTACGCCTGAGCATCAGCGAACATTTATTATATGTGCTTTATAAATAAATTGTAATTATCGGTATATGCTTAACTCCTTAGTGCAATAACCCCAAAGAGGCTTTTTCCACTTACTTTCCATATAAAAAAGACTAACCGCAATAATAAATAAAGTGCATCAGAGTTATAATTACAAACATACGTATATGACAAATTGTAGACAGAAGAAATGAGTACAACTGAGTTGGAATTGCATATATAATACTAAGTTCGAATATACTTAAGTTATGTTAAAAGACTGCATTCATGCTTCAACCGGTTAAGTTTTTTCCTCTGCAATTCTACATACTAGTTTTCTTGGAATTTCAAGTATTCACAGTTCGTTTGGTACGTGCAAAGGTAAATTTGTAAAAAATAGTTCATCTATTGCCCAAAAAGTAATTGCGGATTTTTCATATAGTCGGCGTTGACAAATTTTTTCAACGGCTTGTGACTCTGTAATTGCATTCTTTCTTCTGTCAGTTATCAGCTGTTACTTTTAGCTTGCTTTAGAAAAAAAGTGCGCGAAATTTTGTTTACATTTGTTTGTTTGGCGTCAATTTTAATATGGAGCCCACAAAGGAGCATTTTCGTCATATTTTACTTTATTATTTCCGTAAAGGAAAAAACGCGGAGCAGGTTGCTAAAAAGTTACGAGATGTGTATGGTGATGAAGCCTTAAAAGGAAGACAGTGTCAAAATTGGTTTCGCAAATTCCGTTCTGGAGATTTTTCACTTAAAGATGAGCCACGTTCAGGTCGGCCAAATGAAGTTGATGATGACCAAATCAAAGCATTAATCGAATTGGATCGTCATGTAACTGAGCGTGAGATAGGAGAGAAGTTAAATATACCAAAATCAACCGTTCATTATCACATAAAAAGTCTTGGACTGGTGAAAAAGCTTGATATTTGGGTACCACATGTATTGAAAGAAATTCATTTAACACACCGAATCAACGCTTGTGATATGCACCTTAAACGCAATGAATTCGATCCGTTTTTAAAACGAATCATAACTGGAGATGAAAAATGGATTGTTTACAACAACGTTAGTCGAAAACGATCATGGTCCAAGCATGGTGAACCAGCTCAAACCACTTCAAAGGCTGATATCCACCAAAAGAAGGTTATGCTGTCTGTTTGGTGGGATTGGAAGGGTGTCGTATATTTTGAGCTGCTTCCAAGGAACCAAACGATTAATTCGGATGTTTACTGTCAACAATTGGACAAATTGAATACAGCCATCAAGGAGAAGCGACCAGAATTGGTCAATCGTGAAGGTGTCATATTCCACCAGGACAACGCTAGACCGCACACATCTTTGGTCACTCGCCAAAAACTGAGTGAGCTTGGCTTGGTTCGATCTTTGCAGAACTCCTTAAATGGTAAAACTTTCGGCAATGATGAGGCTATAAAATCGCACTTGGCTCAGTTTTTTGTAGACAAAGGCCAGAAGTTCTATGAGCGTTTAATACTAAATTTGCAAGAAAGATGGCAAAAGGTTATCGAACAAAATGGCAATTATATATTTGACTAAAGTTCATTCTAAGTTTTATTAAAAATGCATTTACTTTCTTTTAAAAAATCCGCAATTACTTTTTGGGCAACCCAATAGTCTAGGTAATTATTGTAATTGAAATACATTTTTGGGAAAATCTATTATGATGAAAAAAAAAACAAATATTTTGTCCGAGCATACAACGTACATATGTGACAGCTTCCTGGTAATAAACGAAGCTCGTTAAATTTTACCTATTTTTGAAAGGCTCTATATATACCGTTTCCAAAGTTTGGGATCGACCAGCAGCTGTTGTCCTTTGCTAAGGCACACCTTTATGAATTCAAACCATATTTTGGCTGATTACTTTTCATTCGTAAAGTTATTGGTACCTAAAACAGAACGAAAAGTTGTTAGATATGACAAATCCTTAAAAAACTCTGAAAAATTCTATTATCAAAGGAGTCGAGCTGGTATTCAAGTTAGGAATTTTTTAATATTGCCAAAGTTGGTACTTGATAAGAGATTCTTAAATAGTGAAGCGATTTTCGGCCGAGCTCCTAAGCCAATTTATAATTTTTCACCTTAGTGTTTTTCCAACAAATGGAGGGACCTACAGTTTATACTAAGCCGCCACCAAACGGCCAATGGTTTTCCAACAAGAAGATTTTTTTTCATTGCGAAATACATTTGGAGAGGTGAACATTCCCTGCCAAGGGACGACCGCAATTAGAAAATTAAATTTAATTTTTTTTATTTACATTAATTTTCCATAACTTTTGGATGTTGGTGGCACCGGGATTAGAACCTGAGCCTTCCGAATGTCAGTACGCAGTGCTAACCACTCGGCTACAGCGGCGGCTTTAGTACGCGCAAAATCAAAACTATCAAATAGAATATAAATAATTTATCGAATTAATTTGTATTTCATACTTCAACGTTCCATATAAAAAATGACTATTTTAGAAAATGTTCAACACTTTTTTATAAAACAACAAAAAACTTTACAAATGCTAGTATAAAAATACTTAAAAAGTGGTATAACTCATTCTTGA